TTGACTGCATGGAAAAATGATCTGAAACCTTCGAATCTCGAAATAAATCCAAAATTCATTTTAAAAACAATACACATTTCAGCTCAAATGTGTGCATTGGTTTTTGGATATAATGTCAACAAATAAAAACAATATGTTAAAGCTGACATGAATTCTTAAAAACGCAACATTTTCATCAATGTACGACTTGTTTCATACCAACGATAGCCGTATTCCGCCATATTTCTCTCAGATACCTTGTCTCATTGTAACGATGTATACCCCAATGCGCTCGTTACACTTGAATGATTTTATGGTTTGGGTATCGACTTGTGCACATCTCCGATGGTAAAGCATACATGAGAACACATAAGGAAATCAAGACAGTTCAAAACCACAATAAACAAAATAATAATCATATTTCTGAATAATTATTTATTTGAATCAAAAGAAAAAATGCAAGTTTGGTGAGAAATTTAGATGCACGATTACGTATTTTTACAGTGCGCCAATTTATGCAGAATAAACTTGAAATAAAAAGCAGTAAAATCTGCAACACATTTTGAAATTATTATCATTTGAATGGCGCAAAACAACCAACGTCTTTGATTTGCAGACCCTATGCAATTGGTGCATATCGAGAAAACGCCTCGAACGCTGTAAACATACCCATACCTGGTAATAAGGTTACTGCATCGGTTCGAAGATGTGCACAAGTCAAGTGATATACACCCTGAATTCCATTTATTGAAATATGCATCACAAAAAAGAAATAAACTCCATAAAAGCTCAATAGTAAACACACTGTCATTACTCCGTACAGACAAGCACGTCGATACACCTAGTCCGTGCTAATCAGATTTTGGTCAGGGAAAATATCACAAGTGGAAAGAGAAGTTATTTGGTATTTGCGCGGCTGAAGGGGGGCGTTATAACTGCTGTTCATAAGCTATAATTGTGAATTGTCTACTACATGTATTTCTAATATACATTATATACAAAGTAGGGATGTCAAAATTGTCAATAATTGATATTCGAATATTCGATAGTAGTATTCGAATATATTCGAATATTCGATAAAATAAATACATCTTGCATTATAATATGTATGTATCTTCACTCTTTTGTCAAACAATATATACGTTTTATGTCATTATTTTGGAATTAAATTTCATGTAGAGTTTTGTAAATGCACTTTAATTATACTCTTAAAATATTTTACAGAATAAATGAAGAATTTATATCCAAAATGTAATTTAAAAACATTTCCCCCGAAAATTCAAAAGATTCTTTTAATAAGTTCCAGATTAATTAATCATCTTACCAAAGTGTACAATGATAACCCTACAGATTTATACCACACAGAACAATTACCCTACAGATTTATACATATAATGGAGAAACGTTAAAAGCAATTACTTTTAGCTAATTAATTCCCTGATAATGATTTTAAATGATGTATACATAAACAAAAATGTGTCCTTTCAAGAATATAAACTAATTATAAGTACTGGACACTGTTTTATTTCTAATTAAATGATCAAATGAATAATTAATATCATTTTAATAGACTTATTCTTCACACCTTTAAGGTAATCCAAGTGGAGTGTCTTTTCATTTTGTTTAAAATAAAATCTAATTATTGGTCAACGATGAGAATTTCATTCAATTTCTGATAAAACTTCAGTTTTTGCCAGACATTTTTCTTTTTGATGCTTGTATACTTAAAATCCGAGTATTCGAATCATGAATTTATATTCGAATATCAACTCATCGAATGAATATTCGAATATTCGAATATTCGTTGACATCCCTAATACAAAGTCATGTATATAGTCTGCAGTTGGTTTGCGTCGCAAAATTCATTTGTCAATTATAACTGATAATTGTAGTACTAATCTCAAATCTAGTAATTTGATGTACGGCAATTATTTACTTCAAATCTTTAAAGCAATTAACCAGAATAAAAATTTTTTATGTGTACTTAGATCTATACGTTCTTTAACACACAAACACACGAAGAAATGCCATCCCCTGTTCAGATTGACTTTTAGGCATTTGATTTTTTAGGCGGGGGGGGGGGAATAATTGACATGACCGTTATCTAAATATTCTTGGGAGACGGACATCTCTGCCGAATTCAATTTTGAAAATTTTATTTTAAATGTGTCACTCCGACCACAATGTATGTGCATTTTGAAGTATGTATAAATGTTTTATAATTATGGTGTTATAGAGAGTTTTTCGAGATTTCAATATCCCTGCCTGATAGTCTAGCTACTTTTTTTATATTTAAAAATAATTTCTGTAGGAGTATTTGGGAGATAATTCTAAAAGCTAAGGTAGGGAGTCTTGACACTGGTTGAATACGGATAATTTTATTTACTAATTGTTAGTGTTGGCAAATCGGTCGATTTTTAGTAACCGGTTACTCGCTTCATCTTCCGATCGAGTACCCGGTTACTCGGATGATTTTTGGTAAAAGTATCGATATCTATTATTTATCTTATTCTATACTTATCGGTAGTAGTAATGCGCAAATATACTGTATAGGGACAATATATTTACAATACACACATACGATATCGTCAAAGATTTTCCGATTTTAAAATAAAGAAAATTAATAGGAAATTCGACACACAAAGACAAATAAATACGTCACCGTAAATCACCATTTTTTCTTTCTTTTTCAGCCCTAAATGATACCCTCGCCGCCCATATGGTTATAAATAATGGCAAAGTACATATTTTGCTGTTGTCGCTAAACCCAAAATACGTGTCGGATCAAAATGTAAAATAGGAGGTGCACAATGGTAATATGTAATATACCCATAAGATTCTGTGAAAGTTTTATGTAATTTCATTAAGTGGTATAAGAGGATTTGCGGATAGGAGAGTGCAAAGAAATTTTTTTATACAAAAAATCTGACAAGCTAAAAAAAAGGGGGGGGGGGGAAATGTCCTTTTCCTAAACACAAATCTTCTATTTCGTGTGGGGGAAAGGGGGTTGGGTGGGTTCGAACTTCAGTAACAATTTTTTTCTCCAAACACCAACACTTTCCTCTTTTTTAACTTATACTGCGACTTGTCTGTGAAAAGCGGGGGAAGAGAGGGGGGGGGGGGGGGGCTAAACCTACGCAGCAATATTCAATGTCTATACTAAGTATATATTTGCCCCCCCCCCCCCCCCGGTTCCGACACTTAAATGCTGAACCTGGACAACAAACAAGAGAAATTACAAAAAGCTAATTGTAGGTAGAATGTGGAATTCTCACGGGGGGTTTCCTATCTCTTTTTATCTGCTTTTTCTAGTGATCATTAATTATTTATATCTAGAAATTTAATTCACATTAAATTCTATTTTCATTATCATTGTACCAAAGAATCAAACTCGTTTATTATACCCCTTGCAACAATTTGCGTGAGGTATAATGTTTTGGACCCACCAGTCAGCCCATTTTTTTTTTTGGGGGGGGGGGGGTCAGCGCAACTTCTTATAAACTAATGCACAGAGTTTTGTTGAACTATGCTGATATTCAGAGGAGTCAATGTGTCTGTATTTGTACATCACCAGGAAATTATGAAATCTTTATTTTTTCGGGAATGTTCGCACTTTTACATTTAGATTTTGGCCATATCTTGAATATAAAAATGAGCAGTTTGTCAGCACAATTCCTCATAAACCGGTGCATACAATTTCGTCAAACTTGGCAGATAATTAGGACACAATATGTATAGATGTGCATATTACAAGGAAATTACGATTCCTTTATTTTTTTCTGTGAATTTCAGCACTTCGACTTAAATGTGGGAGCGTGGGGTATGTGAATTTGCTCACTTTTTCTTTCATTGAGCATAGAATTATTAATAACTTTAAATCAAATTATATTAGGTCTAATAAAGCCAATATACAGTATTTATTTGATCATAAAGAAATCCGATCTGTTTCAGACGTTTTTCTTAAAATATTTTTATGAGAGTATTATGCATGTTTTATTCCCCCCCTTTCACAGGAAAATGTCTTCATATCTTCAAAAGGTGAATGATTCGTAATAATGCATACTTTATTATAAATTTGATGAAGTTAAACCATGTTTTCAAAAAATTTATTTACACCATTTACAGACAAGAGTAATGTTTATTCTTGAAAAAAAAATTGATCGGCATGGGCCACGTGTGTCCAAGCAGTTTTTTACTGTTGAGTTAGCAATGGATTACATGATTTATGAGATGCATTTTTCAATAAAAGTAAAATAGGATAATTCTTTCGACATGTGCACATCCCTGTAACGATAGCAGTCTTCAGGTAAATATTTCTATCACTGCGTTTGACGCGTTTTCTCGACTGACATGCATGGAATTTTTGCTCTTCTTGAATATTTTCCGTGTAAGTGTATTTTCCATATTACAGCGAATGCATTCAAAAATAATTTAATTCTCGGTATAGTTCTAGTTTTTGTTGAATTTTTACTTTTCAAACATGTATATTGGTCAGTTTATGGACTTTTTAAAACTTTGCTATCGGAGATGTGCACATGTCGAAAGCCAGGATAAAAAATCACTCAAGTGAAACAGTTCTAAAAGGCTATATATAGCAGGTACAGGTGGCCAAAAATGTTCGATTAAATATGGCGGAATCGAGGAAATATGGCAGACAAAGGCGTACAGGAATGTAGTAAGTCGTACAAAGATGGAAACTGATGCCTTTTTAAGAGTTCATGTCAGCTTTAACTCACCTTCTACAAAGGATTTCTCACTTTCTGGGCCCGGTTTTTCAAAAGGTAGTTAAATTTAACACAGTGGTAAGGTTAACAACAGGTTAAATCCTAATCAAGTGATTAGCTAACGCAGTGGTTAAATTGTGTTGATCAAAAGCAATTTAACGCAATGGTTAACTAACACTGTGTTAACTGAGTAAATCACTTGGTTACCCATAATGCACTTCTACTTCCTTTGTAAACACGGAGAGCACTGACTTCTGCTCAAAACCTACGCGGGCTAGAAGCCAGAATTTCAGCATTATGGAAATCAGCACTATCCATAATGAAGTAAAACAACATCCCATACATGAAAGTAAGCACTCGAACACTGTTACAAACCAGAAAAAACAAGCAGTGTGGAAAAGCATCACCGAGAAAGTCAATGCTGTGGGCACTGCTCATAGGACCATGACTGGAATTAAGGACAAATGGAGAAACATGTGCCGGGACGCCAAACAAAAGTTCACTGAACACAGAAGGGAATCAAAGAAGACTGGAGGAGGCCCACCACCTACCCCTCTCTCCCAGACACTGTCTGACATTGTGAACATCTACAATTTAACAAACATAAAAACAGTAGTATATGTGAGAGTTTGTGTGCGTACGAGTTATCTGGTATGTAAATGAGGTTTTCCTTTTATTAACCAAAAAAAATCATTTTTTTTGTGTTTACGAAATGATTTTACGAAAACATCAGTGTCCGTTTTTTGGTTTTAAAATTTTTAATAGAGTACTAGATTTACTGCTTTTGGCAGGTGATACTTCTGATTTAGTAATAAATACGCATGTTTTGTAAAGTTTTTATGCATTAATGAATTCATTTAAACCAACGTAATATTAACGCGCATTGGTAAAAAACATGGACGTGATCCAAGAGGCAGTTAAGAAATACGACAAGAACTTGGTTTTAACAGATAAACAGAGGGAGGCATTTACCTACGTGGTTAAGATCAAATGTGATCTTGTCGTTAGCCTTCCGTTTTGTATGGTAAAAGTGTTATTTACCATCTTTGACCCTTCATATTCGAAGAGACCAGAGAAAATCCAGTAGTGTTGGTTATTGCTCGAGCGCTAGCAATTACGTTATTCCAAATTCCTTGAATACGCATGCCCGGCTTCACGGTCGTGCATTCTAAGAAAACTACTATAGATAGACCATACGATATCAATTTTGTGTATATGTGGTAGCATTAAAAAACCATGGTTATTTATTGTAAAGATAATTACATATTTGTAATACTTGAAATTTTCCGGGTTTTTTTCTGACTGAAAAGCCCGAGTCAAAGATGACCCGAAGAACCAAGCTGCTTCGCATCTTCACATTCGGGACTCTCTGGATTTCTTTATACATACACATTGAGTTATTTTCTATATTTCTTTTAAATCCATGTTACATGTATATAAAGTCTCGCCTCACTCCCGTAAAGCTCATAATTGTTCCGTTGCACCAAAACTCCTATAGGTCAAAACAATCCCCCTTCGTTTCTTTTCCTGTAATCGGATAATCTCTTATCAGCAACTCACCAGATTCCTCTAAGCAGGAGTAAATGAATTGTTGTGAACGTTCATGTATGCTGACTTGAGTTTTTTGTTCTGCTTCGCTCCGTGTTTTCCGGTCTGGGAACCTAGTGAACTTTGAGGCTATTTATAAATTGCCCAGCATCCAAGATGCATTGCGATAAACAGTCAAAATGGCGTCTGTTTTGATTGCTGGAAGTTCAAATGTTAAAAGATTTGAGCACTATGTAAATAAAAATCGAGAAGAACTGCGAACGAAAGTATTCTTCTCCCGCCTACCCCCAATTCAATTTTCAAAAGTTAGCATATTCGGTGATTTTTTAAATATTTTTTTTTTTATAGATAATTATATAGATTTTCATAAAACATTACTTATTTTGGAAAACTATGAGAAACAACTCTAAAATTTTGGTAAAACTTGCGTTTTTCACTATAGTAATCAACGGAAAACGGAAAATATTTTTAAAACATCTCCCCCCCCCCCTTGTCACAAAAATTCCTTTTTACAGGTAATATGGAATGGTATTTCACATATTCATACCAAATCTTTTTGTGTGACACGGGGGGGGGGGCATATATTAATTGACAAAAAACGATAAAAATGCTTATTTTCCATCAATTTCAAAGCGATATACATCTGAAACATTATATTTTATTTAAATATTTATGCTTTATTTATTTGCCTAAAACATAAGAAAAGATATAAGGAACATTTAATCATATCCAAAACTATTTCAAAATACAGTGATGCTTGAAGCTTCAATTTCAATGGAAAATATCGTCTATCCCCCTTTTCTCAAGAGCTGGAATTATTGGTAATTTACTGTTTAACGCTGGTATAAGTACAATTTATCAATTACTATTTAACTGTTCTTTGTTTTAAACAAAGATTTTATGGCCAAATTGTTATTACCGGCCGCCAGGAGGTGGTCGGTTATATGATATGAAAATTTTAAGTTGCTGTGCGTTTCTGCGGAGTTAACTTAACTATTGGTGTATCTTCTTGGTATACACGCACTTGGAGTATCTTAGCACATGATCTGTTCGTAGGATGAGTTGTTCCACAGACTTGTGTGCAGGTGGCTGTCACTTCCTTATCGTTTTGGTCAGGGTGAAGCGCCGTAGGGTGTTCATTAAATTTGCATATGCCACATGGTGCTATGAATGCAGTCAAGTCGAGGCTGCTTTAGCAAGGGTTATAACAGGCGGTTTGAGGAATGCATCCTTGATGGGTTTTTTTTCCAAAGGAGAAAGGGTTAAGCTAGTCTACATGATCTATAATAAAAATTATATCTGAGATTAAACACACAGACACCCATTACATACGGAGAAATACGAAATACATGTATATGTACATGCAAAAAATTAATAAACGGAGAAGTAAATTAGTAAACTATATGAAAAATAATTGCATACTATGGAATCATTTTTAATTTCTACCCCATACATGGGGTTTTCTGTAACTTAAAGGAGTTTGATTTTTGCATTCTCTTTAAAGTTTTTGGCTATGTTCCTTTTTGAACGTAGAAGCAACTTTCACTTCTCTCTCAATGACTGCTTGCGAAAAGTATTTCACTGTTTTCCCTGTCGCTGAGAACTTTGATTAGATGGCACGTGGTTCAGCTGCTTCTAAGATATGGGCCTTTAGGTTCTGAAAATAAAAAGATGTTTCAGATGGGATGGGGATTACCATTGAACTAGAAACAGTAGTTGTGGGAGTAGGTAGAGAAAATGATGAAGAAGATTCGGATATTACATAGCAGCATAAAAGGCTTGGATCCGCTGAATTGTTTACATATGCAAAAACTTCGGATCTTACACTTTTTTAAATATACATTAATACTTGGGAGAGGCAAGCTTTATTTTTTATGTATTTTACAGGGCCTAGGTACTATAACTAACGTACTTGGTTCTTTATAACTATGGTTCTTCCTACCAACGTACTAAACTCTTTAACAGGGTCCAAGGTAATTTTCATTCCTCTCCTACTTTACTCTTGATTTGTAATTAAATAATTAAACCTCCCTCACCACACTCTAAAGATTCATGCGTCTAAACGAGAATCAAACAGGTAAATAAGATTTGGAGTTTTCGAGCACGATATATACATGTTCATGTACATGTATAGTAAGGTGCAAAAAAATCCGGATTTTTCTATTCATATTTTTAACATGATTATTTATCGAAATATACATTTTTTAAACATTATTTTCATATCTAAAAACAAAAGAGCTACTTTTAGAGTTATTCCCCTTGTTTCTATGTGACGTCACGTGATGATGCTTTTGCCAGACGACATATCTTCGGATTACAGTGATGTCAGAAATTGACAACAGAAAACGTCTCCTAAATTTATATGAAAGCGGAATCACTTCGGCGCAAAAATTGTGTAAAATAACAAACATACCTAGGTCTACTGTGTATGATAATTTGAAAAGATTTCGTGAAGGGAAGTCCGAGATCAAGGATCTGGTCGAAAGAAAATTTTTGACGTGAATGACAGCAGACGGGCTGCACAACTTGCTGCTTATCATCCGCAATGGTCAGCACAGCAAATTGCCAATGAATGTGCAAGAAGAGGATCAGTTTAGTTTCAAAATGGACCATGGGTCAGAGTTTGGCTAGCAGTAATTATTTCAAATCGGTCCCTCAAAAGGTGCCACTAATGACCACAGAACATATGCGAAAAAGAGAGACATGGTGCATTGTTCATCAGAATGATAATTTTGACAATGTGATTTTTACGGACGAAAGTTGATTTCAGTTCTACAGATGTATCGAAAAAGGTGGGCAAAATTTGGATATTGTCAAAAAATGGTGCCGAAATTCTCACCAGCTGTTACGGTATGGGGTGGAATAAGCAAGTTGGGTTTAACTCCGCTTGTTTCTGTCAGTGAAAATATTTCTGCAGTGAAGTACTGTGAAATTTTGGAGGAGGGGTTGTTGTCATCCAATATTGTGACAAACGATCTACCTTATGTTTTACAACAGGACAACGCTAGGCCGCACACCGCAAGGTATACCCGTGACTGGTTTACACAGAATCACGTGACCGTAATGGACTGGCCTGCTGCGTCACCGGATTTAAATCCGATAGAAAATGTATGGCAGATCATGAAAGATCGTGTGGAAAAAATTCAGCCAGATAATATCACAGACTGGAAAGTTACAATCATGGAAACATGGATGGGTTTGGACCAGAACTATATAGACAGTCTGGTAGAAAGTATGCAACGGCGCATCGCTCAGTGTATAGCGAGACACGGGTGTCTGACTGACTATTAAGTTCATGCATTGTAAATTCAGTGGTTCTATATTCATTTTATTGCTTCCATGTGAAAATATTGTTGCAAAAATAAAAATAAAATACTTTAGTTGAAATCCGGATTTTTTTGCACTTTACTATATATATATATTTTAAGAGGCCCACTTCGTTTTACGATTGTTTGAAAAATGTAACCCCCCCCCCCCAAAAAAAAAGTCCGTCTTTAATAGGTTTCTTTCTAGTGAATGATAAAAGTACATGTTGTTGTGGATATACAATGCCTCATCATAATTAAAAAAAAAAAAAAATTAAATGCGTATTTCACAGGGTGAATAAATTAATATTATAATAAATACTATATAATTTATTTATTAGTAATTTGTGACCTAATATACTTATCATTTCATTTCCATCATCATCATTTTCTGGAATTTACTATGTGTTCTGTTCATTCACGAAGTCGCTCATTCATATTCATGAGGTTGAATGCTTATTGGTTGGTTTGGGAGTGTGAAAGGTCAAAGGTGTTTGTGTCAGAATGGGTGAGGTTTGAAGGTGTGTGATTGGTTGATATTTCAGTCTGAGAAGTGTGTGAGTGGTTTTACTAGTTTGGTACCAAATACGCATGCTTGGCGCCAAACACCCCTAATAACTCACTCCACCCTAAGACAGTCAGGAGGAAGGATGAGTTTATCTCCTCTACATACATAAAGTCTTTTATTTATAATAAAGACAACTGTATATCTGTCTATTCGGTAAGAATTAATTTACCATCGTTGCTCTGAACATATTAAATACCTTATCAATTAATTATCTAATTAAGGATAGTTGAATCGGAAGAGTTAAAGTATTCTAAAATAATTAAATGTGTGAGTGTATTCATTTATTTTACAGGTCACCTTGTTAATTGTAATTATAATATCATCAAGAAAGTAGTTGAAATATAGATAAAGAAAAAAACGGTCAACCCACAACAACTGTTTTGTTATATTTTATGGAGTAACAAATATAGAGATGCGGCTGTGACAATGGCGCCCAATGTTACAGGTGGTGAAAAATCAAGTCTCAACCGGGACTCGAACCCAGGGCCTCTGGCGTACCGTGCCAGCGCTCTAACCAAGTGTGCTATTGAGACCCGATATATTGACTGACCTTCACGCACCCGTGAATCCGGTGACATATTCCCCCTCTTTGTAGAAAATCGTCCCCGAATTCTACGAGTTAAGGAAATAAAAGAACTAGAACACCTTTGATAGATGAATTTCCGGAGGACTCCAGTTAAAGACGTTAAAAAAGACATGAGATCATTTGTATTTAGCACCAAGACACATGTACAATAATTCATATTTGTGTACTGTAGAGGACTTTCGTGTTTTAAAGTTCAGTTAAACACTTTAAAAATGATTGAAACAGGTTCAATTTTAAAATTTGATTCATATGTATATAACACCAATACTTATTTACTTTAATATATTTTTGTGTACCGTAAAAGACTTTTGTGTTTATAAGTTTAGTCAAAGCCTTTTTAAAAAAATCAAACAGGTAAGATTTGAATATGTTTCAGGAGCAAAAAGGATATGGAAATAACGAACAGTATTTAGTCTCAACGTCCATTAAACAAATATACAAAATAAGAGCAGAGCAAACACGGACCTCCGAAACATCAGGTGCCATGGAGGAGTGAGCATCCCCTGCCGACCGGTCACACCCGCCGTGTGCTCGTTGTCATAATCAGGAAATAACGGAAAAAATCCGTGGTCAATTCAGTGTATTATTAAAAAATTGAGAATATCTGTAGTTTCATCAGATGTTTCAGGAGCATTATCTTACAATGTTTGCAGACATGCTTTTACAATGTTGTTATAATTTTTAAATATATTTTTATAAACTACTAGAGGCAAACACTATCAGCCCAAAGAAGAGTTTGTGATATGGTTGGATGTGTAGAACCAGGGCAAATAAGAAATCCTGGATATTTTAACTGTCTGAGAGATTTAGTCATTTCTCTTTTGTACATGTCACAGGGGAGCAAATAATGGGAATTATCTTTATTGCAAGATATGTATGAAGTTTTTAATCCCATATACATGTAGACACCTTATAGCTTACAATGATATAAAGGAACAAATCGATATCTGCCTTCAGTTAATATTTTTCATATAACATCTGTGTTAACATTCATTAGTGCAACACATGCAAAGTATACGGAAAGGAATCCAATGTAAAAAAAAATATTAAAGATAAGCTCAAGGAAAGAAGTGCAAAGGTAAAGGTGGAAAAGATAATTGATTTAAAAAAAATAACAAAGAAGCCATTATGAAAAGATGCTTAGGCATTTTCCCTTATGGACAGACGAGACGTTCCTTAATTATAGATAAATTTTTTCTATGAGTTTGTCATTGAAGTATTGCTACTTAAGCATGTTAACTCACAAAAAATTGAGGCACTTTACCAGGCATTTCTGAAAGATACCAGGGGAAGTTTTTCTTATATAATCCTTTGGAGAAGAAAAATAATTTTCATTTTCCAATTGTAAATGTTTAAGTACTTGGATTTCTTAAAAAAGTTTAGAAACTGGTTTAGAAATCAGAATGTTATTAAAATTTTTGATATATTTTTCATGCATAACGAAGATATACAAAACGATTTTTGAAGAACGTCTCGTCTGACCTTAATGGAGAAAATCAGCATGAAGAGCTGACGAACATGGAAGTTGAGTTAAGTTGACAGATTTCCAGCTAAAACCTTTATAGGACAAAGAAACCACATTGGAAGACATAATTAACAAGGCTAACCTACAATTCATTCACTTATACTTACGCACCAGACTCCAAAAGCAAATCGCAGATAGACAGTGACGGTAATGTAAATCAAAAGACGCAGTACATTTAAGGATATAAGGATATAACCAGAAGTCTCTGTCGAGACTGTAGCTCTACTGGTTCGTAAACAAAGGAAGAAAATAGTAGCAGACTTTGAACTGTAAAACAGCAAAAAATAGAGAATTGAGCCTTGCTACTCATCAAAATAAAAACCGATGCACAGAATTACATATCTTAGTCTGGTCTACTTGTGTGCTAAGTTATATAGAATTCGAACCAGAACTGTAGGAGGAGTAGCATTTGAAAAAAAATAACATAAATTTCTATTGTTGGTAACCATAGCAACACCCTTCGTCGGAATAAAATCTGATGCACAGATCTAGAGTTATGTATCTTAGTGTTGTCTACTTGTGTGCCAAGTTATATTGAAATCAGACTTACAGAAGTAGGAGAAGTAGCATTTTGAAAAAAAAAATATTTACAGAGACAACCAGATGGATAGACGTATTACTATCACAGACACCTGAAGTATGGACAATATCCCCCGCCTTTTTTTCTTGAAATAAAACGTAAGAGTGTATAATTCCTCGAAAATATAAAATTAATTTGGTTAATTGTAATACAGTTTAAATATCTAACCAATCAGATAAGGCGAAACAGAAAAAGCAACTCCAAAACCTCCTTTAACGCTGCCAATGGAGAAATTTTTATTTATCCGATTAAGAAATCGTCCGATTACAGCATATTAAACATCAATGGCGGGGTTTAGGCTATAGAGACTGGTAAAAGAACATCTCCCAGACAGGGTGCTTGCCAAATTATGATAGGTAACACTGTTTTTACCTTGGAAATCTGTCTTGAAGTGGGGAACCCCCCGTTTGTTTACAACTTTTGTTTCTTACCTTGTGTATTTTTATTATACCGAATAGGGATATTCTTTAAACGTGAAGAAAAGTACAATCTGCTTGGATATAACGACATATATATGCGTTTGACGGGAAAATTTTATATTTTCGAGGTATACTCTATTGCATTTTTTTTTTCATAATAAAAAAGGGGGTACGTTAGTGTCCATACTTCAGGTGCCTGTGTTACTATCGCATAAGCTCTTCTGGTCTCTGGTCTCAATAATCAATTGAGCCCCGCCCCCCTAACACCAGAACCCCTGACTCTGGGGCCATAAAATTCATAATTTTAAAAGAGGCATTCTTGCTCATCATAACTATGTACTTAGTTTTATTTAATTCCTAGGAGCAGAGAAGAAGATTTTCAAAGAATTCATGTATTTTCAATATATAATCAATTGAGCCCTGCCCTAACACCAGAAACCCTGACCCTGGGACCATAAAATTCACAATTTTGGTAAAAGCACTCTTGCTCATCATAACTATGCACTTAGTTAGTTTATTCAATACCTAGGAGCAGAGAAGATTTTAATTTATTTCATACCTAGGAGCAGAGAAGATTTTCAGAGAATTCATGTATTTTTAGGTCACCTGAGTAAACTCAGGTGAACTATTGCTATCTGTTTTCGTCCGTCGTCGTGCGTTGTGCGTTAACATTTGAACATTTTCAGCTTCTTCTCTGCAACCACTGAACCATTTTCAACCAAATTTGGCACAAAGCATCTATGGGTGAAGGGGAACAAAAATTGTGAATTTCATGATCCCTGCCCCCCTGGGGCCTGGGGGTGGGGCCAAAACCACTCAAATTAATGCAATCTTTAAAAATCTTCTTCTTTATTCCTGAACATCAAGCAGTCAAACTGTTTGCATGATTGTAACCAGCAATGAGTCCTCTACCAAATTGTGTGAAATTCATGGCCCTGGGGTCAGGGGTTCTTGTGCTAGGGCGGGGCTAAATAAGTAGGTAGTGAAAATGCATTATTTCTTTAAAAATCTTTTTCTCTGCTCCTGGGTATTAAATAAACCAACTAGGTACATAGTTATGATGAGCAAGAGTGCCTCTACCAAAATTGTGAATTTTATGGCCCCAGGGTCAGGGGTTCTGGTGTTAGGGCGGGGCTCTATTGATTATATAGTGAAAATACATGAACTCTTTGAAAATCTTCTTCTCTGCTCCTGGGTATTAAATAAACTAACTAAGTACATAGTTATGATGAGCAAGAGTGCCTCTACCAAAATTGTGAATTTTGTGGCCCCAGGGTAAGGGGTTCTTGTTTAAGGGTGTGGCTCTAA